GCTGTCCGCCGAGTGAGGCGATCACAACCCAGTGTAACAGAGCCATACATCACCCCCTGCATATACTGCCCCCTGCTGGCCACTAGTTTTATGACGACTTCTACTGGACATTGAGAGGAAGAAGTGATTAATATAGAAAAAGCCATAAAATCACCGGGCTTCATTCACCAGAAGAGAGAGAGAGAGAGAGAAGTGGCGTAACAATCGCCATAGCGACGCAGGCGGCCGATTTGGGGCCTGATGCCATGCGGGCCGCCTGGGTCGCTATGGCATCTCAGGCTGCTGGCTGTCACTTGCGGTGTGAAGAGGAACGTGTCTCTGTTCAGATCACAACAACCTGCGTGTTCCTCTCCACAGCCGCTGCTGAGTCAGTGACAGCCAGCAGCGGCGGTGGAGGAGGCTTTACCCGTCAGTAGAGGAGGAGGTGGGGCCCATCAGCGACCATGGAGGAAGAGGAGGCGGACAGGTAAGGAGTGTGACCAGCCCACCTGAGACCCTGCAGAGTCCACCATAGAGAGTCTATGGTGGGCTCTGCAGGGTCACCCTCAGGTGGGCTGTGTGGGATCTCAGGTGGGCTCTGCAAGGGGTGTAACTAGAAATCACAGGGCCCCATACAGAATTTTGCTATGGGGCCCTGAGATTTCTAGTTATGCCCCTGATGGATAGCTATGCATTAGGCCCCCATTCACACTGAGCGACATGAAAATCGCGCGATTTTGAGCGATATTGAGCGACTTGTCGCGCAACTTTTTCCTACTGGGCTGTATGCAATCAGGAGCAATATCGCTCGAAATCGCTCAAAAAAAGGGTCATGTAGGAGCGACAAGCTACCAGCGACGAGCTACAAGCCATATTGAGCGACGAGATGTGAACAGCTCCATTGAAATGGATTGGAGAAGCTACATAGAGCGTGGAAATAAGAGCGATATCGCTGCAAAAATCGCTCGATAAATCGCTCAGTGTGAATGGGGCCTAAGATAGACAGACAGACAGACAGACAGACAGATAGATAGATAGATAGACAGATAGATAGATATGAGATAGATAGATGAGAGAGATTAGAGATAGAGATGATGATGATGATACGGTCTGATGTTACATCACCCACCTTAATCTTTACATCTCTTCATATGACATCACAATCACAGCTGATGATGTAAGCGGGGAGGGGATGTCACCACCCTGAAGGATCACTCACACTCGTCTGTTTCCTGCAGGACATAAGAAATATATTTAGATAAGAGACCCCATTGGTTGGGAATGATTTCTGGCCAGCTCACCTATAGACTTCAAATCAGAAATCAGGGGCGTAACTAGAAATCGCAGGGCCCCATAGGAAAATTTTGTATGGGGGCTGTGATTTCTAGTTATGCTCCTTGCAGAGCCCACCTGAGATCCCACACAGCCCACATGAGAGTGACCCTGCAGAGCCCACCATAGACTCTCTACGGTGGGCTCTGCAGGGTCTCAGGTGGGCTGCACACCTCTTACCTGTCAGCCCGATCCGTCTCCATGGTTGCTGGCAGGCTCCGCCTCCATCACGTCCCCACCTCCTCTTCTGTTACTTGGCCCCTCCTCCTCCACTTCTGATGCTGGGCCCAGCCTTCCTCTTCCCCAGCTGTTGGCTGTCACTGACTCAGCAGCGGCTGTGAGAAGGAACACGCCACTGCATAGATCACTGACAGGTTGTCAGTGATCTGAACAGCGATCCTCCTCACAGCCAGCAGCCTGAGATGCCATTGCAACCCCGCTATGGCGATTGTTACGCCACTGTCAGAGAGTTTAGACAGTAAAGAATGTTCTATCGATGTGTAATGATCCTGACATAGGCGGTACACGGATAGAATGTTCTGTGTATGGCGATAAATAAAACATTATAACACGTCCACACCATGAAAGATCTTTATTCCCAATATTTCTTCCTAATAGGAGCATAACACACATACAACTGTACATAGGTGCACATGAACACTGAACTCCGGGCAGATATAAAAAGACACAAATTAATGCAACATATTATTATTTAAAAAATACAGTCCTAGGACTAGAGTCAGATAATGATAACTTCCAGCAGAGACTTCTCACCCAGGTGTTTTATGAAGGGTACCTGTCACAGCCAGCGCTGCTCACCTGCCCAGGTCCCCTCTACCCAATACCCACGTGTGCTCAGCGCCAGCCCCGCCCCTGCTGGCTCCTCCCTTCTTTATATCAGTCAGTGACGTCCACCCAACCTTCCCAGCACAGCAGCTAGGGCTGAACGGTGGGCGGGGCTGCGTCCCCTGAGGGTTCACTCTGATTGGCAGAATCTCGGTCCTAGCTACATCACTTCTCTTTGCTATTGGTCACAGAAATCGCGGGACTGGATGGTGAGCTCTATAGTTTACCCTTTAGGAAAATGAGGTGATATAATTGAAACCTTGTCCGGACACTTTTGTTTATGTAAAATAGTAAAATATTTGGCCCCACTGATGAGCGGCTTCTGCTAGGCGATTGGCTAGAACCTCAGTAGCAGCTCATTGGTGAAATCCATTGTCTGAAGCTACCGCAGCACAGTGGAGCTACGTCGTCGCTGGGCAGAAATCAGTGTAGGCGCGGCTCATTGGTGGAATGTTCAGGCCCAAGCGGATCTTTGCTACGATTGGCTTGCAGCCAGAACACAGGCGCAGCTCATGGTGGAATTTTATTACGGCAATCCCTTCTTGTGTCATTGGTGAGTCGTAGCGTCTTGCCCGCCCCTGATTGGCGGAGAGATCTGGCAGCGCCAGCGTCTCCCTCATCGTCTTCTCCCTGCCTTGGCGCCATATTCAGTCTGTCAGAGTCCTCTCCAGTCCTGACAGGAGAAGGGCAGGTACAGCGGCCATTCCTCCCTGTGTGCCCTGCCAGAGGGGTCACAACAAGGACATGAACACCACTGATGGCATTAGGATATATTCAAAGGGAAACGCTACAAAATGGTTTTGGGTGGAGGAGAATATAGGACCTAACATCAAAAATTATATCAAAGGTGAAATTTATCAAAGTCACCCCAATTAAAAGGAGATTTAGTCACAAAAAGCTCATATAAGCGGTTTCTAAAGTCATTCTCAATGTTTTCCATAAAAATAATACCCGGAGGTCCTCGGTAAAAGTCTTATCTCAGGTACTTACTGTTATAGGGTGACAACGCTCTGTCCCTGTCTCCTTTTTTCTGCTCCTACTTTGTCATGTTCGCCCCCTGGTGGAGACTACAAGCAGTCATGCTGACACACATTGCTCAGGCACTTCCTGTTATAGTGTGACAACATTCTGTCCCCGTCTCCCACTACTGCTCCTGTGTTGTCTCCTTGTCATGTGTGCCCCCTGGTGGAGACTACAAGCTTCCACGTTGACACACATTGCTCAGGTGTGGTCCACCGTTGCCAGTTCACAGCATTGATGTGCGGCTGACAACTCCGTGAGTGCATGTGGGCAGGAAGTGGCTGGAGGAGACCAGCAGCACTGAGATGGGAAAATGAATGAAGTAAAACCCCCAAAACTGTATTTTATTTTTAGGAAAGGCAATTGTAGATGATACATGGGCCGATCTAAATGTCATCCCGTTGGAGTTTTAGATATAAAGGGATAGTCCACCTTTAGCAAATCTAATAAACGCACCCATGTGATTGGCATAAATAATGTGCATTTATTACATGTTGTAATTGAAGCCTGCAGAGCATTGCAACCACGATCAATGTATGGTGGGTGCCTTGCAGACTCTCCCTCCGACCCCTGTCTGAGCCCACCTGAGCAATGTGTGTCAACGTGGAAGCTTGTAGTCTCCACCGAGGAACGGGCCTTCTGCTATGGAGCTGGAGGAGTTAACCAATAGACAAGTCCTGTGATGTCACATGTTCTCCACTGAGATATGAAACCCTGCAGATCACTGTGATTGGATGGTGCCATTATCTGGACGGAGTCACGCCCTGCCACTCTGAATGCAAACCAAAACAGAAGGCTGCGGGGAGAAGCACCCCACAAATGAGGGGTGGGGGGGGTATCCCGTGCGCGATTCGCTGCTGCAGACAGCCCGGGGAAGGAAAATAAACAAACAGGTCTCTGCTGCTGCTGTCATATGCCTTGTGTGTGTGGCAGCAAAAGGGTTAATGGAATGTTATCTAGCACATTCAATGGTCACTTTGTAAACTGATGACATGTTTGAACACGCATGCATCTTAAAGTGGACCTGTCCTTTGTACATACAGGGCAAAACATTAGGTTCACTTAAAGCAGAACTTTGGGGGAGATGATTAACCCTTGCAGTGGGGCTACCCCTGCGCTCCAAGGGCTAACTGCTCGTTTGTGTCTAGGTAAGTTATACTCACCCGATCCTTGGAGCCGGCCTGTTCTTAGACCTTCCCTAGAGCCGCCCCTCCCCCCCCTCGGTGTAGGAATCCTTGTGTCTGTACAAGACGTAAAGGAACCATCGGTGCAGAGAAGGGGGAGAAACGTGTCAGTTGACCGGAGAAGCAGGGAGTCGGCTCCACAGTTCGGGTGAGTATAACTCTTGTTTTGTTTTTTAGCACCTAGACACAAGCACCAAGATCAACAATCTGAGCTGCTACAGAGTGAGGAGAATTCATCAGAACTGGAGCAGTTGTCTATGGCAACCAATCAGCTTCTGTCTTTCATTTTCAAAGCTTAACTGAAGAGAGAAGCTGATTGGTTGCTATGGGCGACTGCTCCAGATTTCATCAATTTTCCTCATATTTATAAGTGTTTAAGTCTCACTGATGCATTGTAACAACAGTGCTTCGTTTGAGGTTTTTTTTTTAATTAACTTTATTCAAAGTTAACAGACAAACATTTAATTCCACTCTATGCGCAGCAGCATGTTGTTTGTTGTTGCAGACCTGCAACGTACACTCCCTCCATATTGTCCGTAAACCCAGAGTATGTCGTTGCCTCTTACACAGGGGGTCTGAGTTATCCGCCATGACTGTGTTTTCACAGAATCTTTGCCGTCTGAAGTTTGTTTTTCGGGCATGAGACACAATCAGACCTGCGGCCAGTCGCCCGGCAGGGTCACCGTTTACGTCAAATCTGCATCAAGAGCGCTCCAGAAAAACAAGCTTCTTATGAAGCGCTACCAGGAGGAGAATTCTTCTTCCAATAGCAGTGCTGCGAAAAGGACCAGAGGGCCGTGTCTCATCATACAGCGCCAAGAGATGGCCGCCTTCTTCCAGCTGTTTGGTAAGCGAGTGCCGTACGTGTTTCATAATAACGTATTACATAAATGTTTTCCAGTTTATTGTCTGAATGGGAACCGCAGTCATCTAAGGCATGGGTAAGGTAACAATGGGTAAGGTAACAATGGGTGAGGTAACAATGTACCAATGTAGGAAGATTGCATGAACAGATTTTTACCACTGGACAGCGTTGCTTTCCTCGGAGGCATTCTAGGACATCAGTCGGCCAAAGTGAACCTGTGGCCAAGGCTGTGGACGTGTATTCATAAAATTATTACCCAGCAGTAATTCATCCTTTATACAACTCTCTACTGATCTCTGTAGCTGCAGGTACTGTGAAGCAATTAATCCCCAAAGTTCACAGCAGTGGCACATAAAAAGGCTTCCCTCTCCCAGCAGTTCAGACCCCTCTGTTCCCATCCCAACAGTGATTCAGCAGCTCAGGTAACTCTGCTCCACCTCCCAGAAGTGACTTTGCACCTCAGCTCCCTCTGCATTTCCCTGGTTTCCAGCATTGACTCAGCAGCTCAGCTCCCCCTGCTTCCAGCATTGACTCAGCAGCTCAGCTCCCCCTGCTTCCAGCAGAGACTCAGCAGCTCAGCTCCCCCTGCTTCCAGCAGAGACTCAGCAGCTCAGCTCCCCCTGCTTCCAGCAGAGACTCAGCAGCTCAGCTCCCCCTGCTTCCAGCAGAGACTCGGCAGCTCAGCTTCCCCTGCTTCCAGAAGCAACTTAGCAGCTCAGCTCCCCCTGCTTCCAGGAGAGACTCAGCAGCTCAGCTCTCCCTGCTTCCAGCAGAGACTCGGCAGCTCAGCTTCCCCTGCTTCCAGAAGCAACTTAGCAGCTCAGCTCCCCCTGCTTCCAGAAGCAACTTAGCAGCTCAGCTCCCCCTACTTCCAGGAGAGACTCAGCAGCTCAGCTTTTTTTCCTCGCTGTAATGAACGTCTTTACAACCATAAACGTGTATAACAGATGGTGTTGTCCCGCGCCTCGCCTGGTGGAGAAAATAACATTACTATAAACAGCAGCTACTGTCTTCTCATCTCCTCCCTGTGTAACGGTTCCTTGTAGCGGGGGAGCAAAGGTGCTTCTACAATATGCTTGTCATGGACTCGTGAATGAATGTTCACACCAAATGTCAACTTAATAAACCCGATCATATTGTCAGATTTTCTTTCTCCGTTCTGCACTCCATTTTCTTTTTAATTCAAGAAAAAGCTTTAGTAAGAAAGTACAACAAATGAGACCCCCCTCTGCTGATTGACAGCAGCAGTGGGCGGGTGCATTAGCTAGTTTGCTATTGGCTATTGCAAAGTGCAATAGCCAATAAGAATCTAGCTATGCATTTGTATGACTTTTGTTTCTTTTCTGAGTATTTCACATGTTTTTCTAGCCAAAATGTGATTTCTTTGTCGTCCATTGAGAGACACGGTAAATCATTCACCTTCGGGTTATACTGCCACCTACAAGAGGATTGGCCACTTGCAAACGAAAAAAAACTAAGCCAGTCCAGAGTAAGCCTTCCTACTACCAGCACGCCTCAGTTTTTTTTTTTTGCTAGTGCCCCAGGGGGATGGCTTCCCTTCAGACCCCTATTGGATCCCTAATGTCACTTTTGCACTTCAAAGAAGCTGTTCGAGGACAGATCATGGAGCAAAGGGTAGCAAATCACTTTACATTTCAGTGCAACGATCTGCTAGAGGCTTTCTTGGTACAGTCCATATACCCACCACACTCAGAGCCGCTGTTCCAATGTTATAAGGTAAAGGTAGTCAGCGGATGGCAACCGCCTCGTATGAACAGAAGGATGAACACCGGCACTCCAACAGCAAATTAAGCACGTCTATTTATTAACGTACGTGCTGCACAGCAAGATACACTAATGCAATGTTTTGGGGTCACAGAGGATCCCCTTCATCAGGCAGAAACAAGTGATCCAGATTTAGTTGGACAACACCATAGCGGTGGCATACATCAACCAGCAGGGAGAAACTTGATGTGTATCCTGCCCTTCAGCTTTGTCTGCCATGTACATCCCAGGGAGCATGAGCTTTGCTGATTGAAGAACTCTACCGCTAACTCAGCAGAGAGGACACTGCTTCTACATAGAGAGCAAGGGTCCTTCTCTGCAGCATGCTGGCAAGGGACAGGATTTTCTACTCCAGATGTGACTGCTTTCCAAAGAAAACAAACTATAATATCTTTCCATTTGCACACCGTTTGTTTTGATGGATCTGGAATGTATTTAAACTGAAAGTTCAATTAGGCTTTAAGTGCAGAAGTTAGGTGCCCAGGGGGTGGTGTGTCCACAGTAAACTCTCCTTCCTGAAGTGACATTTCCATGTTAGATCACCTCCATTCTTAAGGCTGGGGAGCTATGGAGAGGTACAGTATATATAGTAGGGAACTAATCTCAATGTAGAGGCAAACTCGCAGTCTCTTCAACAAAAATGCCAGCTTTAATTCCAGACAGCAATCAATTGACAAAAAAAAGGTTACAGGCATCCAGCCCCAAAAATTAAATTGTCATAAACAAATAAAAGCCCGCTCCACTGAGCCTTACTGGTATTAGCGATAGTCCTCTGAGCTGGGTCTGTTTCCTTTATGGGAACAGTTACAGTCCATCCACAGAACCCTGTCCTGCTGACAGTCTTGGCTCCAAACACATAACTTGCTGCATTCAGCACACTGTCTCTCCTTGCACTGAGACACACACTTCCCCCAGCTAGGTGCAGCTGCACACTAATGAAGTCCTGTGCAGTCTTCACTAAACTACGGTCCATGGAACTAGGAGTCTGTCCCACCCAGAGCTCTATCAGACTCCTAGTAACACCTGCCCCAGGATTTGTTTTACCAATACAAGGTAAAGAGCTATTCTTCTTTACCTCCAAATCTATGCTGGCATTACCTTCGATGATGAATCTAAGGATCCGTGGAGGAATGTATCTACCATCTATCACTCTGCCTGCCAACCTGGCAGGTTTTACTGGCACCCTGTTACAATATATATATATATATATATACATACACAACACCACATGAAAAGTATCATTGTGCCATTTCAAAATGTATTTCAGATGTTCTGCACTGCAGTGTAATGCATGTGGTGTACTCTGACCACCCACATTGCTGGCTGGCCGGTTGCTCACCTTCTGTCTAAGTCATCCTCTGACATAAGCAGTCTATTAGTGTGCAAGGAGAAAATCTCCGCAAGTGTTTTGTTACGTCCAGAAGTTGTTATTATAAGTCACAATTAGTATAAAAAACCCTCTTTTCTCAGGTTCAACAAGTCTCCCTACATGAGAGCTAAAGAAAGAAAACTATACTACACTGATGACTGTGTAAACCAGCTTTTGGAGCAGATTCTTTGTAATCTCCTGTAATTGAAATGACCCTCCAGGATTACTTCTTACATATCAGCTCTGTATATGTTTCCTTTCTTCTTCATTTGTTATGCTCTGGTGGGGGGACCTGCTGAACCCCCAAAATGCATTGGATTGAAACAAATGATACTTTTAATAAAAACAAATTCTGGACAATACTTCCCAGAGCTTTCCTCCTTGCACACTAGTTGATCCGATAGGCATGCTGATCTACGGATGTTACTCCATGGAGTCCTGCCTAAATGGAATACTTATTCTAGAATTGAGTTTCATTCAGAGTAGTTATAAAACAAACCATTCAGCACTGCACATTTATCCTTCCATAAGCTGGTCCATGGCCTTCTGCATCACTAGGGGGGTTATACTTACAAATTGGAGAAAAGATGACAGAAACAAAAGTGACGTTGTCCATAGTGACCAATCAAATTATTTTTTTCAGTATAAAAAGATACCCTGCATTGTGTATCACGGAACTGTGGTGTGCCCATAAAAAGGCAGGTAAAGGGCAAATGACTAGTCACCAGCATTGCCTGAGGTCTCCCTGCAGCTGGTTGTTAATTTTGGTTTGCATGTTATAGCAAAAAGCAATCAGATCAACACCGAGGAGCTCTGCAGACAGCCTGCCCTGAGGAGGGTATAATCTATAACCCGCTTTAAAAAAATCTGATCCCAAGAACAAAATTGTATTATATTGCAGTTTACTGGACTGGGTGTGTTGTCTGCATTAGTTTTCTTATTTCCAGCTTTTTTTAACCTTACGATGCTGTCAGCAACACCTCCCCTTCTCTATAACATAAGGGGAGGTGTTGTGTAGTCCATAAAGATAAATGGGAACAATGTAACTGACAGCAGTCAGCACAAAGCACAAGAAGCTATCAGCTCATTGAGTTTCTAACAAGATCAACAGGTATTTGTGCACATATCATAGAGATATAACACACAATTGTAATGGAATATTAACAGACCAAAAGAAAGCAAATAATAGAAGTTCATAGTTTGGATTTACACACTTTACATTTGTATACAAAGGATGCTGATTTGGTTACAGCCTTCCTGCACATTGTGTAACATTCATATGGAGTAACATCATTAGGATTTGGATATTTTTTCTGTAGGATTACATGATATGTTGGTATTCTAGGAGTGCTTGTCATTTGCCAGAGGAAAGGATAGAGAGCGGTTGAAGTATCCTTCGTCTGGAGCTTTCATGTTTTCTACAGATTGTATACTAATGGCATGGGTTTTTTTCTTCTCTTTGTCTGCAGTACCTCTTGGCAATGACATTTGTTTATTTTAAGAGAGCCGGATACAATATAAATGAGTATACGAGAGCGAACTTCTTTACAGCTTTGTAAGTACAAATGACATTAATGTATTGGATATGTTTTTATAAAACATTTTCCATTGGGGTTTACAATTTTACCTTTAGATTGATCTATCCTCTCTTAATTAATATATGCTGATCCTGCAGCATGTCAGGTTCAGTGTCGCTAAAGACTTCTGAGCGTTCCCAGAATGATCAGAAGCCTGCAACTTTGTTTCAGCATAGAAACAGGATGATAAATGTTTCTCTGCTGAAACATTTAGGGTTAGTTCACACCAGAAACTGCATCACAACTGCGTGTGTTTGCACAGTTGCATTGCGATCCGTTTTGACGCGTTTGTGATGCGTTTTTGATGTGTTTTTTCCCCCCTGCATGTCCCTGGATGATGCCACAATCAATTCGGTTTGGGTTTTTTTTGTATGCATTCTGTTGCATTTTAGTGCGTATGCATACATTTTGATGCGTTTTGCTGTGTTTAGTGCTGTTAGATGCAGGTAAAATAGGACATGCAGTAACTAATGTGGACTCGGCAAAAAAAAACTGACAATTGTTCTATTACAATTCTATCCAAATCTAAAAAAAAGTTTTGCATTTGTTATGCTCCTTGCCCCTTTCTTCCGACCTAACCTAACCTTCCGCTCCACAGATGCATACTTATCTCGAAGAGACAGCCGCAGTTCTACTGTTTGTTTACATCTGGTGCCCCAAGTCTTCACTACACCTGTGTATTAGTGCCCCATAGACTTCTATGGGACCATCTCCACCTTCAGGACACAGCCCCACTAATGTACGGGTACACACATGACAGAGAAGATTTGCGGCGCTGGATGTAAACTAGGGATGTCCAGATACCAGTGCTGATACTTGGCATTTTCATGAGAACTACACGGGTTGCAGCTGGGACCTGGCTCCGACGCTCCACCACTGTCCTGAAATCATTAGTCTGTATTGTTTTAGAAAAACTGTCACATGACAATCAACAAAAATGTATCAGTACTTGTATCTGTGAGGACTTGGACAAGTATCAGTACTTGTACCTGCATGAATGGTAACGGTGCATCCCTTTATTTATAGTTATAAAAACATTAGTTTAAAGGGAATAAAAGAATAACTGCACTTTGTTTTAAAGTGCTCTGATCCTTTAACTTTAGCACATAGAGATTTTTCATACAATTTTTTAATGTCCTCCGCTTACTGATAGACACACTGAGAAAAAACCAGATCACAGTCCTGTATTACTAATCAGAATGAATAAAGCCTGCCCGTGTTATACGTTGTTTAGATATTTGGCAAACACGGTAGAAGAGGATAATGAAGAAGCTAAATACGAAATCTTCCCCTGGGCATTAGGAAAGAACTGGACAAAACTTTTCTCAGGCTTCCTGAAAGCAAGGGACGAGCTGTGGTCACGCGTCCAGCACAGAGCCGCTGTGAGCAGACGTTGCTGCGAGGAGGTCAGTAACATTTACGACATGTTCAAAGGGATGTCTTCAGGAATTTCTTTTCATTTTCTGAATGAGAGACAAAACGAACTCCACACGTTCCCAGAGCAATAAATTAGGATTCATCTTCCCACTGTAATACGTAATCTGATGGTTGGACCGCAGCTCAATCTGTCCGGTGTATGAATCAATCCCACAGAGTTCAACTGACAAGAGGACGGCTATGAGCCAATGATTATGTAGGATGTACATGGCGCCAACAGTTTGCACAGCGCTTTACAATATAAGGAAGACATTACAATCACAATACAATTCAAGACAAGATGGTAAGGAGGGCCCTGCCCCTGAGGGCTTACAATGTAAAAGATGATACAAGGCCCTGATATTTCCAAAGCTGCAATTTACTGATCTCTTTTACTTCTACCATATGTACAAATTAAGAAACCTTTATAGACAGTGGCCATGGAATGGATACCTAACGTATCTCAGTGGAAGTTATTCAAGAAGATCTCCAGGAAAACTTTTTGAATACCCTTGCAGTGGGGCTACCCCCCGCAGTGCAAAGGTTAAATGCTCATTTGTGTCTACGGCCAAAAATGATCATTATTGGTATTTAAATGCCGCCGACAATTGTACGCAGCGCTTTACATAATTGCACATTCACATCAGTCCCTGCCCTCAAGGAGCTTACAATCTAAGGTCTCTATCTTACATACATACATAGAGGGCCAATGTAGACAGGAGACAATTAACCTCCCAGCATGTCTTTGGCATGTGTGGGGGGAAATTGAAGTACACGGAGGAAACCCACACAAGCACAGGGAGAACATGGAAACTCCTCGTAGATAGTGACCTGGCCGGTATTCAAACCCCCAGTGCTACAAGTCAGAATAACAAAGTTATACTTACCCGAGGCTCCGAGTCAGTCAGCCGTCACAGAGCTCCCTGCTGCCTGTATCCTCCTCTGCAGCAGCATTGGAATATTCCTCAGCATCCTCACGTCTATACACATTGAGGGGAATTTATCAAAACCGGAGCAGACAAAATCTGGAGCAGATTTGCATGACAACCAATCAGCATCTCTCTTTCATTTTCAAATCCTAACTGAGCAAACTGAAGAGAGAAGCTGATTGGTTGCCATGCACAGCTGCTCCAGATTTTGTCTGCTCCAGTTTTGATAAATTCCCCTCACAGTATAGATGTGTTCATTTACAGGACCTTAGACCTCTGCAGAGGAGGGGTAGAGACACAAGAAGGATCGGTCTAAGTACAAGCCGGCTCGGAGCTTCAGGTGAGTATAAGTTGTTGTTTGTTTGTTTTTTACCTAGACACAAACAAGCACTTAACCCTTGCAGTGCGGGGGTAGCCTGACTGGAAGGGTTAATGAAAACCATTTCTGGAGTTCTTCTTTAATCATATCCTCCCATATGAAAAAAATAGGTATGGGAAGAGAAACTGGCCCTTCAAATTCCATAAAATGTGGGACCTATGATATAACTCGGTTCTCACCCTACGGTCAAGATGACGTAACCTGGTCCAAACATCACAACTACCACAGCCAATGTATGTTTACCTGTCTGCTTCATGTCATATGACACACATATGTGATAAGGAATCACAAGAGGCTGTTTGTATTTCTCTCTATGCTGCATATCTGTTTCCAGATGATTTCACATTCTCACTGCTGTTATTTTCTATAATGATGCACTTCTTTACTTGTATACAACTGGTTTTGCTCAATAAAACGAAGTTTAAAAAACACTTCAGCGCATGTTTAAAAAGACTTGGTGGTAAATAAAAAGCTACATCGAGATTTGAAATCCATTTATGTTTTTATTTTGTTTTTTATTAGGAAAGTTTTATTAAGGTTTTGTAAGATCAACAAAATATCATAACAAACCAATGTGTTGGTCGAAATTACATACACTGAAATGTAAAAGAGTTGAACTTCCAACAATGTCAAATAAATTAGGAACAAAAGGAAAGGGAAACAGAGACAAGTGTTGATATGGTAATCACGATATTATTGCTTTGTCGGTCAATTCCCAATCGGGTTCCCAGGTATGAGGTCAGCGGCAAATGTGGCCGGTTCGCCTGAGAATACCACAATTTTGAACATAGAAATCAAAATTCTCGTAGTAGTAGGCCTCAGTGTGTCGATAAATTTCTCAGCGGCTTGTGGTAGCAGGATTGCCGGGAAACCCACAAGGAAGAGAGTCAGAAATAGGAATGAGAGAAGGGGGGGTCCAAAGGGAGGGGGTAGGGGTGGGCAAAGTGGTGGTGATGTGTGGGAGGGTGCAAGGCAGGAGGTACCTGAGTACGATTGAAAAGTAAGGTATGATGGGCAATGCGAGGTGCCGTGGCATGAGTAGGTGTAGTCCCATTCATTATACACCACGCTGTGGATCTGTAAAGTCATCAGACATAGTAAAGTAGGTCCAACAGGCCCACATTGCTCTGAAGCTATCTAATGTATCATGTTTAGTGGCACATAATTCTTCCATTTCATATACATGTCCAAACTGTACAAGCCATTCCCTTAGTGGGTGTGTGTTCTTGTCGCCGGTGGCGTGGGGATGATCGTACGTGCAGCATTTATGAGATGCCTGTGTAGTGATTTATATGTACCCGAGGGGGTAGCAGGGTCCCGATGTAACCATGGGGGTGAATTGCAGCACAGTGCCCGTGATCTTTCGGATCCCCGCATGTACGTGTCGCCAAAAGGGCTGGGTGTGGGGGCAAGACACGAAGATAGGTGTGAGGGTACCATCACCCGCGTGGCATCGCCAGCATGACTGGGACACTGTCAGGTATATGCGGTGCAGTAGGTGAGGAGTCCTGTACAAAAAAGTGAGAATTTTCAAATGAGTTTCTTGCATCTTGTTATTGACCGTGCATTTTGTGTTCTGTTGTGCAGATGTTGGTCCAGGAACGGCCGGTTAGAGTATTATTGAGAGTTTGTTCCCATTTGGTGCGACGGTTGGGTAAATGTCAGGTGGTGCTGTCTCTGAGAAGGGTGTACGGCCATGAGATCAGGTGTCTGGTTGGGCCGCTTCCTGAGTAAAGCCTCTCAAGGGGCGTGAGGGTCCGATCTATGTGCGGGGGACGTTAGGAAATGTCTTATTTGGAAAGAAATCCACCAGGGGAGCGAACCTCGTTTCGTAATTCCTGAAAGTTAATTTTTGGTGACGAACTTGTGGGACTTAAAGAAAAGCTGTGCTCTCAATGGAGGGTCTTGGGACCAGTACGACATGAAATCTCTAGTGGCACTTGGAGGAAAATCTCGGTTGTGTTTCAGACGTTCCACGGGGCTATGGAGAGAGATGAGAGTATTGAGGCGTCGCATGGAGAAGATGTCAAGGGTCGCCCCTATGAGAGGGTGGGTCCGTAGCTCTGCCGGCCATAGTGCGTCTCTCAGCCATATCATAGACGATAAGGAGGTATCTGCTATCACCTCCAGCGCCACCCACAGTTTGGTGGTTGTGTGGAGATGCCAGTGCAGTACTCTGGAAATGTGCGGCCTTGTAGTATAAGTATATGTCAGGAACGTCCAGACCTCCTGTACGTTTGGGTGCCTTAAGAAGGGACCAAAACACCTGGAAGTTGCACAATAAGGTATGGGAGGCCTGGGATGCACTGGAGGGGGATCGGGGGATGTCGTCCGAGGTGGATGGAGATGCGAGATGAAGCCGGTACCCAGCTTTTACTACCCTCTATTTCTCTTATTGCTTCCTTTTTTTTTCTGTTCTGTGTCTTTTCTTTTCCAGGGTTCTGTCCTGGCCACCGCTTTTTGTTTGTTCTCCAGGCCAGCGAGCCTGGTTCATGCGTAACACCAGATCGAGCTCTTCTCAGGATTACAGTATTGCACTTCACCTCTAACCTGTTATACTGCTGATCATAGGTATGGTGCGGGAAATGGATGTATACCTCCGATTTTTAATGTCCGTTATGTTACTTTTTCGTTACATGAGTGGTACTGCTTGTTAGCCAGGGTTATTACATTCCATGTGAATTGCATGTATTTCCTCCTTTTGGGGGCCCGACACTGCAGTGGGTTTAACGGTGTACTGTTGCTTGTTACACAATGTATGCTTGGTTTTGGTCCGCATGATCTCTTATTCCTTGTTTCATGACTTTGGTCATTTCTGTATTGTCTGTTTATAAAACTCAATAAAAATTGTCAATTTGAAAAAGAAGGGACCAAGAGAGACGGGGCACGTGTCGTTCCATATGAAGGAGGAAAAGATGGTATCCAACTTGCGGAAGAATGGGCGTGGTAGTTTAATAAGTATGGTTTGGAAAAGGTATAGTAGTTTGGGAAGCACGTTCTGAAGTTTTGTGCCTAGCGTCCTTCTCCTGCAGGTGGCGATATTACCCTACCATTCAGGATCTACGATCTGTTGCCTGTGTCCTTCAATGAACGGAGAGAAAAGGATTTTACGGTGAGTACAAAAATCCTATTTTTCAGTAAGGCAGCCCTGCCAAACCAGGAAAAAGTGTGCGTTCGCCAGTTCCGAAGGTCCTTAAGGATGGTATCGTGCAGAGTTGCAAAGTTCAAATCGAAGTTCGAATAATGAATTTATGTTTTAACTCCGAGAGCATGTACAATGATATCAAAATATTAGGGCTGCAGAAAATTAACGATTAATCGTTAATTTTTTTGATCTATCAAAATTATTTTGATCGGTACTCACCTCTCCGCCGGCTTTTGGGTCTTCCGTCGGAGATCCGGTGACGTCATGGACATCGACTTCACCGAACTCCTCCCACCTTCCCCAAGTGGCTGTCGGCTAACGAAGGGAAGGGGGAGGAGTCCGGTGACGTCGTTGTCCGTGACGGCTAACGAAGGAAAGTAGGGAGGAGTCCGGTGACGTCGATGTCCGTGACGTCACCGGACTCTTCCCCCTTCCCTTCGTTACCTGACGGAATCACTTGGGCCGGCGAGTCTCATGGTTCATACTAACATATACTAATGGCAGTTCCCTGCAATAGAAGAGGTAATATACTCCCCTCTCTGTTCAAGTGCTGCATCCTCTGTCAGTTTCTTCAGCTTTCAACACTTCCAGGAATGTTGGATACCTGTATCCCTCACTACACACTGTGGTTTAATCCTCTAACCCCTACAGGACACAGTGTACGGGTCAGTGGATGGAACCACAGTGTGCAGTGGGGTACAAATCCCAGAAGTGTCAAAGGCTAATGAGCCTGATGGAGGCTGCAGTGCTTGGATGGAGACAAGGGCCACCGGATAGGTGAGTATATTACCTCATCTATAGCAGGAAAGTGCTAATAAGATTTTTATTTTTTTTAGGGTGACTGACGGGGTCAATTGTAAACTAAAACAGTGCAAATTAGAAAGCAATAATGATTGATAGAACAATATTTTTGGTGTTTTTTTTTTTCTACAAGTGTATCTACTTCTCAGTCAGCATCCCATACATTTGTGGATACTGGACCAGCACTTTTATTCCAGCTTAGAGATCCATTTTGTGTGGTTTTACAAGAAATCAGAATGTGCCCTATTACCTAAAACTAGTTGGATCTGTATGTGCGTTATAATGAATCGAAATTAGTCGATTAAACATTTTTTTGATTAATCGAACAGGAAAATTTTAATCATTACCAGCCCTACAAAATATATTAATTTTCAGTCTCTCTTGTGAGCCAGGTACCCAGATATGTTTTACATAGCTTTGGCCCAAGCATTTCTGCATGCTTTCCCGGTATTGTTATAGAACAGTACAACTATATGCTCCTGTATGTGAGTCTGAACTAATATCAAATTTAGTTACTGTGCAAGACACAAAGATCATAAAACTAAAAAAAAATGTACAGGTCACATACAAGTGGGAGGATGGAGATGAAGGGGGTAATGTATACATGTGCAGGATAAGGGAGGTGAAAGGGTTAATATACAGGTCAGCGCATAGACAGAATGGATTCCTGTGTCAGGAATCCCAGGTGTCCTGTTCAGATGCGGCCGCTGTGCACATGACAGTAAATGACAGGGTGACAGCGGCCGCATCTGTCAGCAGAAGTCTGCATGTTCTCGTACATGGTACAATTACATGCGGTTTGGAATACATGACTGTCTCTGGATGCAGGCTAGACGCACCCAGCGACAATGATCTACCCCAAATCGCATGTAATCTTTTACAGGTGGACTGCCGCTGACAGATGCAGCCGTTGTCAATGACTTCAATGGGTAGTACAGCAGCTTCATCTGAACAGGGACACCAGGAATTCCCGCAGCTGGAATCTATAGGTTCTTGCCGTAGAAATACCAGATCACCCCACGTAAACGGAGCCTTTGTCAATAATTGAAAACTTGCACGTGTATCTTGCTTCATTTACTTTCTGCATGTGCAAAAAAATTATATTCATAGAACTTTCTTTTCTCTTCATCTGCAGGTGATGGCAATCGCTCCGATACATTACATCTGGCAGCGAGAGCGTTCGGAGCAGCACAGTGGTGCAGTAAGAAATTATAATCCGGATGAATCTTATCTTCCCCGTGGTCCATCAGGTACACCTCCAGACTGCGTCCTGTGCAGAAAGAAAGGTCGAATCGTGGCCCTGGGATTATCAAGCTCCTCCTCATCCTCACCTGATGCTACACCAGTGAGAAAGCAGAAAGTAGCACGTGTTTCTGCAGAATTACCTAAAGATAAGATGCTGGTAGACCCACCACAGTTCTGCCACTACTTCCAAGGTTTGCCCTATTCCAGTGACATACTTCATTAGGCTGTGTGGCACTTTTCAGTATATGCTTTTCTTTTTTTGCAACTCGTGTTTCGTCAAAGTTTTCTGTTTTCATGAGTCTAGAGGTTAAAGCGCTCTTCAGATTGGGAACACTTATACTTTTAAATGCCCTTTCCCAAGATACAAACACAGAGGAGGACTTTTCCCCACCAGCAAGAAGTTGAAAAGCAATACTGACTTCAAATTGTGGCCCTCCAGCTCTCAGTGTTTCCAGCCACTGTTGCAAGCTGTGCACACCGGCATAAGTGCGAGGGCATCAGGGGTTCCAAACAGTGCCTGGTGGCATGTGACTGCAGCAGGGGGTACCTGGTGCCTCCGGGGTACTCTTACACTCTATGATGGCAGAGCTGTTTAGGTCTCTATAACTAATCAACAATTTTGTCTACATCTAAAACTGGGAGGATTGCCAATATGCAGATTTGCTGATCATCTAGTCCAGATACGTAGAATTATTTGATGTCAGTGCCTGCCCTATGTTAAGGGGGTCAGTGGAAGGTGCTGCCTCTGGGCCCAATCCCATTACGACATACTATGGTTAAGGAATTGGCTCTAGGTCAGTGTTATTAACATTTTATTTCAAACTGATGTTTTATATCATTTTTTATGTGTAAAATATTTACTTTACAATTAAACTTTAATGTGACACTAAACTCAGGAGTTAAAGCTTAAAAATGCATTCAAGTAGCTTAACTATTAACAATACTGGACCTTATTCGTGTATCACTCGGCTGTAGATCCTCAAATCATCTCTGAATCGGTGCTGACACTGTCCTTCCTTCTGGCGGGTGGCTACGTCTGTTCCCCATGGTCCCTGTGTGTGTTGTAAAGTAGCCACCGCTCCAAGCTCAGTCCTGTGATGGACTACAATCTCAGGCCTAGTTTACTAATTGGTATTTAGATTGTAGTCCATCCCGGTAAAAGAGCTTGGAGCGGCTCTGCTCTAGATTTGGTCCGGACATGGTGTGAATGGGCCACAAAAGAAGTAAGGCATCCACTATTTGCTCTGGTCTGGAACACAGAAAAATGCATGTAAACACATGCAAACGCACGAGGGAATCAATTGAGACTATAAAAACGCATCAGAACACATCAAAAAAGTGTCACGAACGCACATGACCACATTTGCAGAAACACATCCAGATCTGGTCTAGCAATGGTGTGAACAAGCCCTCAAAAACACAAGGAACATCTTGGTTGGGGTTCAGTTATATTTTTATCAACATGCCAGAGAAACTGATGTAACATTTGTGGGTTTTTTTTCAGTTAATCAAGAAAATGTGACCAGAGGAAGCTCCAGATCCCAAGACAAGTCCATGGAGTGGTTCTCACACAGCGAGTAGATTTGGCTGCATGTGAAATAATGAAGGTTACAGTATATTTATAATAGTAATAAAAGTTTTAATCCAAAGAGTGGGGGGGGGGTAATGTGTTAACTTTATTTGGGTCACAGTATGCTGCATATTATATAAATGAACTATGTACACGTCATAATAAAGGTCCTCAGCATCAGTTGGAATCGTCTTCATGTGTTGGTGGTGCTGCTTTAAATTTCCTCAGGTGCACAAGAAAAGCTAGAAAAGAAATAGCAATTTTGGTGAATGGCAATCATTATTTATGTTGTCACTGTCAATAAATAAAATCAAGTTTTTGGGTCAGAGGATTGCAGTAGATAGTGTTCAGCCTGACACTGAGCCAGCCTCCTCATGATCAACCTGAGGACGAGGGCCGGGCATGGACAACATGCAGCAAATGAGACATGTGATACCTTCTGTTCTAAGAAGACTTTACTGTGTTAAGCTGGCCATACGCTTTACAACTATCGCAAGACTTTCGGCGTGCGATGGTTGTAAGCTATTTAAAAGCTTGTACAACCTGCCCATCTTGGATAGGCAGATCGTACCTGCGATCATCGCAAGCCCGCCCTGCTGAAGGGAGGGCTTCCGATGACTGCAATGCTGAACGGGCAGTGTGCGCTTGCTCACACCGGCCCGTGCGGCATTTGTCTTATGAGCACGCTACAAACCCGCCGAAAATCTCATGATTTTCGGCTGGTTTTCCAACATGCTCGTAAGACAAAAGACGTGCGACCGGTTGCACGCCTTCCATACACCTGCCGATTATCGTACGATTTCGGGTTTTCCAGCGATTATCGTACGATAATCGGCAGGTGTATGGCCACCTTAACACACTGATTCAGTTGCAGGGCTTTCTGATTGCTTTAGTCCCAACACACCATAACTTGTATGGTTATACTGTCTCACAGGTTGTAAAAAGAACGCATGCATTGAGAAGGCTGCTATAGGCAGCAACACTGTCCTTTCGTTTATGTTGTTGTTATGAAAAAATGATGTACTGTACTCACCTGTGTGTCCTGTTTGCCAAGGCCGAGGTCGAGCAATATAAGGCACTTGTCCAAATGCCTGTGATCTATCTGGGTGGTCATCATCCTCTACAGGAAGAGAAGAAACACGCTATATGTATAGTATCCAAACCCAAAAACAAAAATAGAATAAATTGCAGCTATTGCAAAAAAATAAAATAAAGTCTCCCCCTGCACAAGAGAAAGGCCTACCCAACCAAAATCTTCCCCTACAGAGTATATCTGTATATATATATATTGCATACATATATATATGACGGTGGAGCCCGACGAGCAGCTTTACAGTCAAGCGATCGGGCGTCTCTAGAGCTGTGCCCGATGCGGCCGGGAAAGGCACGGCTCTGTGACAGGAGATCAAAGGGAGTTCAGTACACGAACTCCCATTTGATCTCCTCTCAGTCCCCGAATGCAGGAAGTGATGTATATTACATCACTTCCTGCATTCACTCTCCAGCTACAGAAGCTGATGAACCAGATCTCTGCTTCATCAGCTTCTCTGGGGGTCGCTAGGTGACATTAGGGGTCTTGGAGACCCCTGATGTCTCGATAAAGAGGACCTGTCATGTAAATTGGCTATTACATAGGGGGCTTCTTAGGCCCCTCATGTAATATCAATAAAGCTGTGTGTAAAAAAAAAAAGTAATACTAAAATTAAAGAAGCATAAAAAAAGAAAACATTTTTTTAAAGTCCCCGCCCCCCACATACACACGCAGATATGAGTCGGGTGCGCCTACGTGCGAAAACGACGATTGCGCGGCACATGTTAAATATCGCAGCAAACGTCGGTAAATTAAGCTTTTGCTATCTTAAAAGGACTTGTGTGCTGGTGACAATTCTACAATTTAGCTGACATTCGCGGCGCCATCCGCAGTCACTGCGAGCACCCCCCACTACAAGGGTCATATCGGTAAGGAGTGCAACAAGGAGAGTACTTATTATTTACCCGACGTGACACCGAATTCAGAATTTTGATATTCCAATATTCAGGTACATAAACCTGCATAAAATGTCTGCATGTGGATTGGCCCTGGTCTATGAGCTCTATTTTTACATGCAAATCCACAAATGTATGCATATGTAAAGCCAAAACATTTTAGTTTTGGATAGGAGTAAGAAATGGTTAAAATCCTTGTTACTTTTTTTCCTTTCTTGCTCTGTGTACCATTGGGGAGACTTCCCTTCCATTCCTGTCACAAATTAAAAGATTTCCCCTCATCCCCTGTCCCAGTGAGAGCCATAAGACTTTGGATTACTCACATCTCTCTGCACGGGTTAAAATGGCCTAAAGGATGAATCCCCCAGCGGGAGCACAGAGCATTACAGACCTGACAGAGGTTATAATCCTTTCTGACTCTATCCAAAAAGGCTCTCCGGCTCTGGTGAAACTACAAATCCCATTATGTAGCCGTCTCTGGTAGTCCTGCCTGTGGCTGTGAGAATCTTGCAATGCCACATGGGATTGTTCCACAACAGCTGGAGGGTCGGAGTTTCTGCACCCCTGCTCTTTGGGTCCGTTCACACTAGCAAGCCCGCTAAAATGCTGAGTTTTAGCAGACGGGCTAGTGCGTTGTGTCAGCTCTGGCTGTGATTGGTGTATCGCACACTGTCGGAAATGTCTTTGTTTACATTTTTTTTTAACTTTATGTGGAGTGTACACTCCATTCAGGTCCCCACACGGCAACAAGGTGCTCTGCGGCGGCAAGCAGTGCACTCTGATAAAATGCAGCATGTTTGCATTTTATTGTAGCTCTCTGCCCACTGAGTTGTGGTGCGAATGGGACAATAGTTTTCTATGTCTCCTTGCAGTGACTTGTGTTGATCTGGTGCGATCCAACACAGGTCACCGCAATATGTGTAAATGGGCCCTCAAGCTGAACTACGGCCTTCCCTTCAGTCTTGCACAGATGTGTAAGCGCCTCCCTTGGACTGAAAATGCCCACCCTGCTTCTTCATTGCCCGGGAAGCCAGCTCCATGCTTTTTGGCCGGTGTTCTGAAGTGATAGAACACCAGCTCAATGCTAATTGGCCAGGAAGCCGGCTTCTCAGCCGATCAGCTTCAAGCTGGCTTCCCTGCCGATCAGCATCAAGGCGGCTTCCCAGCCAATCAGGAAGATGGGAGGTGGGTCATTACCCATTGCCTGGCTTCCTGATGGGCCAGGAAACCTGCTCCATGCTGTTTGGCTTGCTCCACGCTGCTTGGCAGGGAAGTCGGCTTCCCAGCCAATCAGCATCAAAACTGGCTTCCCGGCCAATCATGAAGTACCCACCGCTCGGCTTCCTGACTGGCCGGAAAGCCGGCTCCATGTTCCCTCATGGCACTGCCGTTTAGAGGAAATCTCCCTCTGACCAGAAGTTCTGGTATTGGGGGGGTAAGTATCGGAGGATTTGTACGAGTACTCCGTATTGGCACCGATACTAGTATCGGTGCATCCCTAGTTTTAACCATCCCCTACTCCATCAGAATTGTTTTTAAAAAGCCGATACACTCCGACTCTGCAGCATCTACCAAAAAAAGAAAATATGACGTTTTTGTGATTTGGTGAATACATGTTCTGCTGGTAACCTGTGGTATCTTACCATCTGTTTCATCATCATCACCATCTTCCTCTTCAAGTGGTTCCAGTGTATGAGGCTCCGCCCTCTTGGAAATTCTGCCATCTTTACTTACAGATGGCGCCACCAGCCAGTCCGTGACACCGACCTCTATGACCTTTTCACACATCAGAGGAAGCTTACAGCACCGAATCCCCTCCAGGAGGTCAACAGCCTGCGTGATACTGTCATGGAGAACAACACGGTGCAGAAAATGGTTTATAGAAGATAGATTATGATGTCACAATACAAAAAGTATTAACCACTTGCCGACCGGGGTGTTATCCCCCCATCCTGTGCCGGCCATTTTTCAGTATTAAGCGCTGCGGTACATGCAGGATGTTCAATGTGACTATAGGGTGTGCAACCATATACATGCAGCATAATAAATGTGACAACGGTGCAACGTCTGGGAATATATATATATATATAAAATAATCAGGGGGACTCCGGGGTGTGATGTGTGTCATTACATATCCAACCCCAATCTCTGAAGTCATTTTTCACTTTGCAGCTTTCATTAAAATAATCCCTGGTAAACTTGCCATGAAGGGCCTCCTTTGGGCACTTCCTGTTATAGGATGACAACTGTCTCCCAATTGTGCTCCTGTGTTGTCACATGCACCATGGTGGAGACTAGAAGTGGACGTGCAAATACACATTGCGCAGGCATGGGTAACCATTGTCAATGGCGGTCCAGAGCAATGATGTGCAGCTGACGCTGGAGTGAGTGCATGTAGACAGGAAAAAGCTGAAGGTGATTAGCAGACTTGAGATGGAAAGAGGAAGGAAATCTGTATTGTATTTTATGCATTTAATGGCAATTGTTTATGATACATGGTGCTATAGCAAGTTCAATTCCAACAGAGGTTTAACCATTTGCTGACCGCGCTGTTACACCCCCTTCCTGTCCAGGCCATTTTTCAGTATTCAGCGCTGCGGTACTTTGACTGACATTTATTCCGTCATGCAACGCTGCACTGAAATGAATTTTATACCATTTTTTGGGGACAGATAGAGCTTTATTTTGGTTTTATTTTATCACCACTACGGGTTTTATTTATTACTATATAAAGAAAAAAACTAGGGAACATTTTGTAAAAAAAAATGTTTTCCTACTCTCTGTTATAAAACAATTATTATGACTCCATTTTTGGGTAAAATATAAAAGTCGGGGTCACGTCGGGTAAATAGACACCAAATATGTCAAGCTTTAAAATTGCGCGCGTAATCGCAAAAAGCTTCCCAAAATCTGCTACAGCTGATGCTTTGAAAGCTTTTACCGCTCATCAGTTTAATGTTATCAGTGATTGATGGCCCTAAAATTATTGCTCTCACTGCGACGTTAGCGGTGATATGTAATCGTTGTTTTCGTACATAAGCGCGCACCCAAAACGTATGTATAGAACGCGATGACTCGGGGACCTCAGACCGCAGCAGCGGAGGGGAGAAAGGCTCCAGGGACCGGTCTAAAACCCGGTGTTCTGTCGAAATGGCCAATTTGTCGAGATCTCCAACTCGTAACGTCACCTCTGTTGGAGAGTTCGACGAGATGGCGCTAGTGTGCGTGCGCCAGCCCTGGCATTTTTCCAAGCCTCGTCGACTTGCCCTAAGTGCTCCTGTGTGGCCTCGCAATCCTCATCGAGTTCTCCAACTGGCATCACTGCTTGTGCCAACAGATGCAACTTAGAACGCAAATTAGAGAACGTGATGCTGCTCTTAGGTGACCGCACAGGCGCACTGACAGGAGTTGGAGATCTCGACAAGTTTGACATCTCGATAAAACACCGGCTGGCTCGGAGGGTCGGGTAAGACTAACTTTGTTATTTTTGACCCTAGGCAAAAATGAGCTCTTAACCCTTGTAGTGCTGGACACTTAACATTGTATTGCAAGGATTCATAAGATTTTTACCTGGAGTTCTTTTTTAAATGAATATTGAAAATAAAGTCCTTGCAAAAGTTACAACTCTTTTCTTCCACGGTCCGTGTAGCAGGGTGTTGGGTTCCTGGTCCCCCCTGCTATGCTCAGTAGATCGATCCACCAGCCTCTATATTACTACTGTATCCTGTAGTGATGTACTGCCTGGCGGGATGAACCAGTGAGCGGAGGGGGGGAGGTCAGAAATCTGACACTCTTGAAAGTGTCGGATTTTGAAGATTCTTCTGGCAGCTTTTTTTTTCTTCATAGCAGGGATTAGAGGTGCGGACAGCAGGAGAGGCGAGCACTTTATTTTAGATTCTCAGACCACGCTGACCTCCTTAGAATTCTACATACCTGGATATCTAGCTCCAATGTTTTTCACAAGCAGCAGGTGAAATTAGGACTTATCTGCACACAATCTCTGGCCCAGTGACTTAAGGTGCCCACACACTTTACAATTAGCTGCAGATTTTCTGTGGTCAGAGGGAAGAAGTGCAACAGATTGGCCCAGGTGGAGATTACTCCATCCACACAGTTATAGTGACATTAAACCCTCAGATTTGTTAACATAAACCAATACTGTAATGTGCGCCTTACTGTAATCCATGGTTGTTTCCCTTCTCTTTGCTGCTCTTCCTTTTAAATCTGTATCTGTTCTCATGCTGGGGGAGAACTTCTGTTTTGCAGCAGACTGCCTTGTCTCTGGAATGGATACATGGTGTCTGTGTGCAGGTTCACAACCTGAGCCAGCACTACAGGAAGAGGCACTCAGCTGCAAAAGGGAAGTTCTCCCCAAGCATGAGAAGAGATAAGGATTTAAAAGGAAGAGCAGCAAAGAGAAGGGAAACAACCATGGATTACAGTAAGGCGCACATTACAGTATTGGTTTATGTTAAAAAATCTGAGGGTTTAATGTCACTTTAAGTGTAGATGGAGGAATCTGTTGCACCATTTCCATCTGACCACAGAAAATCTGCAGATAAATTGTAAGGTGTATGGCCAGCTTCAGAAAGCATTGAAGCCAAAGGGTGAGCATAACATGGGCAACAAAGACAGTCTGATCAATAGACCTGCATGCTTTACAAGGGAAAAAAACGTAATGTACTCACTTGGCTATGTACACCGCACACACAGCTCCCTGCTTGAGGTTTCCCGTGATCACTGGCAGTGCCATTTGTGGGTTTAACATGTCCAGAACAACCTATAGGAAGGGAAAGGAAGGCGCTTTATTGACGCCACTGAGCCTTGATATGGAAGCGTTTTCTGTTGGCTACAACACGGATAAAATGGGATTCCGTGCTCTCCTTACAATTTAAAGGGTTAGTTCACCTCCATAATAAAATTGTCCATGCAGTGCAGTGTCCCCAATACATTTTGAAAAATAAGCTTCCCCCAAGTCTGTCCGAAAAAACGGATAGGACGTGCCAGACAACAGCCACACCCCAGCTGCGCAGCAACAATACTGATGATTGTTGGAAGGTGGAGGTAGGACTAATTGTGGCAGATTACAGCAAGAGTCACTCTGCAACCTACTGAACTGCAGGAAGGTTGTGAGTGGAAATCACTCACCTCATAGTTCTCCTTTAAGGTGCCCATACACCTGCCAATTATCGTACAATAATTGCGGGTGATCCCGCGATCGTCTCGATGTCTCCTGAGCAGGCTTGAAAACCCGTCGTACGATTGTCGGGTGGGTTAGTGGCGTTCTCGGGAGACAAATGCCGCACGGGCCAGTGTGCGCAAATGCACACTGCCTGTGCGGCATTGGAATCATCGGAAGCCCTCCCCTCGGCGGGGGCGGGCTTGCGATGATCGTAAGTACGATCTGCCTGCCCAAGATGGGCAGATCGTACGAGCTTTTAATTACCTTAATTGGTGCGATGGTTGTAAAGTGTATGGCCACCGAAAGTCCCATTAAGGAAGCCAGGTGACGTGTAATGACTCACTACCTAGCTTTCTAAATAGCCGGCAAGTCGGGCGGCGTGTAAATACTCACCACCCGGCTTCTCGATTAGCAGGGAAGCCGTCCCCATGCTTCTTGTCACCAGGTGACGAGTGAGCATGGAGACGGACTCCCTGCTAATCGGGAAGCCAGGTGACGAGTGAGCATGGAGACGGACTCCCTGCTAATCGGGAAGCCAGGTGACGAGTGAGCATGGCGACGGATTCCCTGCTAATCGGGAAGCCAGGTGACGAGTGAGCATGGAGACGGACTCCCTGCTAATCGGGAAACCAGGTGGCGAGTGAGCATGGCGACGGATTCCCGGCTAATCAGGAAGCCAGGTGGCGAGTCATTACACCCCGCCGGCTTCCTTAATGGGACTTCCGGTATCGGTATTCAGTATCAGCGAGTACCGAAAAAAATAAAAATATCAGAACGTGATAGCAAGAAAGCGGTATTGGTGCATCCCTAATATAAAGCATGGCCGTCTACACTTGTGTAAATGGCCAAAGTTTCCTCATCAAAGTGTATAGAAGACGCGATACTCACGGCATCAAGTGCAACAGATTCAATGTCAGGCAAAGCGTCCATGATACTCTTGTTGATGAAATGCACGTTATCCGGCCACGTCCGACCTCTCCGAACCTGCCACGCTTTCCTCCAAGTCGAAAAATTCTGCTTTGAGACTTTGTGGTGGTCGGCGCGCACATCAAAGCTGTACACGCAGCCGTCCGAGCCCACTGGGGAATTGGTACTGTAGTCTTTAATCAACTCCCACTTAAGAGGCCCAATGATATCATCTTTATATGGGAAAAGTAATTCTTGCCGCTCTGGGAAATGTCACTTCTAACATTCAGCATATATAATCTGCAGAGATTTATATTGGAAGCGGATTTCACTCGTTCATTAAAGAGACCCTGTCACCAACGTGAGAGTGCAGAAAAATACATCATTTTGAATGCTTGTGGTTTTCCTTCCCTTCCCTCCGGGCAAATACATTTTTTTTTAACCTTGCCGTGGGGCTACCCCCGTACTGCAAGGGTTAAGTGCCCTTCTTGGTCTAGGAGCTGGAGTAAAGCAGATTTACTTACCTGATCTTCCTCTGGGCTGCTAGACCGGTCCCCACACCTTCTTCTCCCCCTGAGCTCCGGTGGTCTAAGGACCAGTGACATCATCACGTTTTATGCAGGTCCATTGACGTGCATTAGACGAGAGGATGCCGAGGGATATTCCGACCGGCTCCTTTGATCGGCCAATCGAGGGATACCGGCCAAACGGGAGCCGACAGTGCCCCCCCCCCCACTGCGGAATTCATATAGTGTATGGCCAGCTTCATTTTTACAAGGCCAACAATGACTTACAGCTCTAGAAGTTGGTGGAGTGATGTCACTGCTCTAGGAATTTACCTGCGTTGCGGGCCCACCATAGACAGACACACTTGCCGGAGCTTTGCAGTCACATGACCGCTTGTAGAAAAGTATTTTCAATGATATTTATTAGCAACTGTACACAGAGAAAATGAGAGGATCGGGAAGGCAATGTTATTGGGTGTTTTTTTCAATTGCGCTGTTTGTTTGAGGAGGGGGCCCCATTAAAAAAAAATGCTATGGGGCCGAGATTTGAAGTTATGCCCCTGCCCAGCAATGATTGGTCCAGCATTGTCCAATGGAGTGAGTCACATGCTCTCCCATACCTCAAAGTACTGGATATTCCTTCGGCTCCCGGCCTGAAATAAGGTGCCAGCGGAGCAAAAGAAAGGTTAATCTATACTGCTGGAGATGAGGGAATTCAATCTAAGATTGGTCATTGATTACCCTCCTCGTAGATGTGCGGTTTTGGGAATTTATCTTACCAAGAAAACAAAAACTGATCACCGACGTCTGCAATGCTTACCTGCACGCGACAAAAACAGACTGAACGCTCCAGAACCAGAACCGGCTTCCAATACCACATCCCCCGGACTGATGTCCATTACCATCATCATGGCTGTGATGTCCTGAAACAGAAGATTATGTTATTGATGTATCGGGCCGCCATATACTATTGGCTACATACAGGAATGGGTTCTTAAAGAGACACAGCCAAGCGACTGTCTCCTGGAGGCTCACCGTCCCCTCCAATCCTCTTATACCAACCTTTCCTGCGTCCCCCCCATTGCTTGGAGCTTGGTGTCTAAACCCAATGTAAGGTCCATGGTGGTCACATGGTGCTGGAGCTGACACAGTGTCCTCTGAAAGGGTTTCACACCAGGTCATTGGACACTCAGGTCGGAGCACTGCATTGTGGGAGGAGGTCACATGCTCTCCCTTACCCGGGTATTTACCAAGTAGATTGGAGGTGAGATTTCAAGACTCTCTCAGTTTGCCCTCAATGATAATTCTGTAGTGCAGTAACCCAATGGAACCAATCAGAATCCATCTAGCACTGCATTACTCCATGTGGCCAATATCATATCTGAGGGATGATACTATTCGCTGGAGTCTGCCCAAGCCAGTGCAAACCTTTCAGTGACCACCCGACCCAATCAGTTGCCGCCAGGTCTTTAACAACCCCTTTGTTACATGTAGCTTCGGAGTGGGGCATGCCCTGGCCTGATTGGGCCAGGGGGGGTCACAAACAGTTTTGTGCGGGCTTGGGTGACCTCAGTTCACACCAAGCCAACACACATCACTACTGGTCATTAGAGATCAGCTTGTGCAAACCCAGTTTGCCCAAGCCCACTCTAAACTGTGACCACCACCCCCTCCTCCCGGCCCAATTAGTGGTAGCAGGGACCTTCCCCGTCCCTTTGTGATGTATAGCTGCAGGGCATGGAATGTGCCATCCCACAACTGATTGGGTCGGGAGGAGGGGGTGGCATTCACAGTTTTGAGTGGACTTGGGCACACGGGCCAAGCCACATCACTACTGGCCATCTGTTGATCCCCTAGTCTTAACCCCTGTGGCCGATAATTTTCAGATCTGTCTCACCAGTATAATAATCCAGCACTTGGTTCTCAACTCCATTCATTCATGGGACAACATAGACCAAGCTCCTCCATACCTTTGGATAGGCAATAGTGGGCCCCCTCTTCATGAAGAGGACATATTCCTCCATTGAGGGTCTTCTCAGCATGAACTTGTGTCCGGTGGAAGTCTGGAGCGTCTGTCCCGGCAGCTTTCCCACTATGTCCTGGTAACATATGGCCCCCCAGTTGCTGATGAGTTTGCCATGTTGTTTTAGGAGGAACATCTTCTTGAACATGGAGTAGTGTCTTCTCTTGTACTCTGCCAGCAGCAGATCCCCTGGTCTGAACGGTTCACCCTGAGAAGGTGAGAGGTCACTGTCTGCTTCTGGGGCAGTAAGGGAGGTGGATGACAGAGGGGATGTTGGGGGTTGTGGTTGATAAGTCTTCTCTGCAGCCTCCTTGACCTGTGGCGGTGCCATAGTTCCAAAATCTTCTGGCTCTAAGTGCAAAGCCCTTGGTGGAGGAGAAGGTGATGATTGCGGTGGAGTGAACTGCTCTTTCCCCTCTTGTGGTGCCGAGACTCCTCTAACATCCTCTAGCTCTCCTTGGAAGATGTTTTCTAGAGATGGGAGTGGATCGACCTGCTTCAACAACCCTTCACCTTGTGGACTGGACAGTTCTGGTCCCTGCAGATCCTGGACCTCTTTGGAGATGAACTCAGGATGGATCATCCTACTGACCCTGTCCAGAGGAGACAATGATCTGCCCCATGCCCTCCTGAGCAGCCTGCCACTGGCAGATCCTGGGACCTGTGCTGCCTCCTGAGACCCCTGTCCGTCATCCTTGCTGCCTCCCCCAGGGCAGTCTGAGTGATTGACAGTTCGCAGCAGGAGGAGACGGTGCCTGCAGGAGAGGAAAGTGGCCGCACCGCCAGCAGGGGGCAGTGTGCGGGAGAGCAGAGCGCTGCACAGACGGGGCACCCTCCTGCCCGGAGACATGCTGGCTGAAAGTCAGCTCTGCACACTGGGCATAGTGCTGTACGTCATCAGCCGGCGACAGGCAGGAAGCGACCGAGCTGCGCACATGTGTCTCTGCAGCATGCAATGTGCGAGGCTAGTCACGGATCTGTGCAGGGGGATCGGTGTGATTGCTGGGTACAAGTGTGCATACATTTACATATACATCCGGTGTGATCGCACGGTGCGATGTAATACTATATACAAGTAGGATGTATAGTGTGATCACAGGGTGCAATGTGTAAGTCACACATGCAGGATGTTCAATGTGACTATAGGGTGTGCAACCATATACATGCAGCATAATAAATGTGACAACAGGGTGCAATGTCTGGGAATATATATATATAAATACATCAGGGGACTCCAGGGTGTGATGTGTGACATTACATAGCCAACCCCAATATCTGGTCATTTTTCACTTTGCAGCTTCCATTAAAACAATCCCTGGTGATCCTGCAATGAAGGGCCTCATTCAAACACTTCCTGTTATAGGGTGACAACTGTCTCCCAATTGTGCTACCACGTTGTCACATGTGCCCCTGGCGGAGACTAGAAGTGGACGTGCTAATACACATTGCGCAGGCATGGGTAACCATTGTCGATGGCGGTCCAGAGCAATGATGTGCAGCTGACGCTGGAGTGAGTGCATGTAGACAGGAAAAAGCTGAAGGTGATTAGCACTGAGATGGAAGAAAATATGTTTTACATTTTATGAATTTAATAGCAATTGTTTATGATACATGGTGCTATAGCAAGTTCAATTCCATCAGAGGAACCACTTGATGACCGTGGTGTTAAAGGAGAACTATGGGGTAAGTGTTTTTCCCCATAGTTCTCACGGGAGAACATAAACTAGCTTCCTCCCATCACCCAAAACTCAGTATACCGCGAGCTACAGCTCGCGGTATACTGAGACCGCCGGGACGGACCCCGACATTACGGTCGAGATCCACCCAGCTGCCAGATTGACAGCTGGCTCTGCCTATCTAGAGGCAGAGCCAGCTGTACCCGTCCCCTCCCCCATCCGTTCCGCCAGTCAGCACTGGAGGGGAGGGGGTGGGGAATCCCTGTAGGGAGCCGTGAGTGACAGTCACAGCTCTGCAGGGATGGATCCAGAAGTGAGCGAGCGACGGTATGTGTTCGCTCACTTCCCGATCTATTGAGCCGACGTGTGACAGTTTCATTGTCGCAGGTCGGCTCAAATTATGAGCATGAGTGAAAATCACTCACCTCATAGTTCTCCTTTAGACCTTCCCATCCAGGCCATTTTTCAGTATTCAGCACTGCGGTACTTTGACTGACATTTATTCCGTCATGCAGCGCTGTACTGAAATGAATTTTATACCATTTTTGGGGACACATAGAGCTTTCCTTGGGTGGTATTTAATCACCACTGCGGTTTTTATTTTTTACTATATAAAGAAAAAAGTACAGACAATTTTGAAAAAAACCTTTTCCTTATGTTATGTTATAAAACATTTATTATCACCCCAATTTTTTGGTAAAATATAAAAGTCGGGGTCACGTCGGCTAAATTGACACCAAACATGTCAAGCCTTAAAATTGTGCACGCCCGCAAAATTGTAAAAAACTACCATGCCTAAAATTGGCCATAGGCGACGCTTTAAAAGCTTCAGTTCAGTATTATCAGTTATCAATTATTGCTCACATTCGCGGCGATATGTAATATGTGTGGTGTTGCTTTCGCAGGTAGGCGCACCTGGCACGTATTTACGTTTATATGTGCGTACACGTGGGGGACAATTTTTAGGGTGTTTTTTAATATGTGACTTTCATTTTTTTTTGTACACTTACATTTATTGTTATCACATAGGGGAATAACAAGCCCCCTATGTGATAGCCAAAAACCAATGGCAGGTCCTCTTTATGGAGACATCAGGGGTCTCTAAGACCCCTAATGTCACCTAGGGCCCCCCAAAGAAGCTGATAAAGCACAGAGCTGCTTCACCAGTTTCTTCTCTGGCCGCTGTATGGGGTAACACAAGTGATCGGCGGCTGTAGAGCAGGGGACAGGGATTCATATGATTGTCCTTTGGTTGGTGTTCCAGACACACAAGGACTTGTATTTGAAATAGATGAGGAATGGCTTTAGTTGCTTCTTACAATTTTTTTTAGTGAAGCAGCATTATGAACGTTGGTCAGTCGCTCATATAACGTATTTCGCTGTGTATAAGTGACAGGTCCTCTTGAAAGGCAAAATGTTACTCAACTTTGGCTGTCACTTCCACGTGAAGGCAGCGTGCTGACCCCTGAGCGGGGAGAAATCACATGTATTCTTCTAATAGCATAAAAATGTCCCCGAGTGCGCTCTAAAAGCCCGGCGAAGCCAGCCATGTTCTCGAAGTTCACCGCGCAGTAATATCGGTAGAACTTGGCCCCAGCATCATGGCTCCCGCCGCGGAGACCAGGGGTGACCTATCAGTCGATCTCTACAGATAGCGCGCCGCCGTACAGCGTGACTCTTCCAGGCCTGCGGCTGACGTTCGCCTCCGAGGAGGCGTGGCCGGTCGAGAGGCCCCTCCCCGAGCTCAAGCGCGCATGCTCCGTCCTTAAACACGTGGCCGGGATCGGAGCGAGCAATGGCGACGGCTGGAGCGGGCAGCGTGTACGATGCGCTCCCACCTCCCAGCGCGTTCACCCCGGGAAGGAGAGACCTGCTGGCCCTGTCAGGCCTGGATGGGAGGATCGCCGTGTGGGACAGCCGAGGAGGGGGGCTCCGCAAGGAGTACGTGCCCTCCGCTCATCTCAGCGCCACCTGTACCTGCCTGGCCTGGGCGCCTTCCAGAGGGGGACAGGTATGACTGCACGTGTGAGCGCCCGAGGAGGGGAGATGACATGACAGAACATTACCATGGGGTATCATACATGTGACACAGGTTTATGCGTGATCTGTGTATGTTGGTGGAGGGGCGAGCATGTGTTGTACATTAATATGCGAAGGTGTGTGTTATATTTACATATATATAATTTTTATAGTCCTATAATAATAATAATAACGCACGTGACACTGCGCTGAGACTTGTGATCAGAGGTACAAGTGACATATTAGTACATCACCCCATGTGATC